CCCCCCTCCCTCCCCGAACCTCCTCCCAGACCTCCCCTTCCCGGAAAGTTCGAAAGATACGAGCACGACAACAGTTCACCACAAAAGACTGACAACAATAACAACAACAATCAATCAATCAATCAATCAATCAATCAATCAATGTCCTCGAACCTCCGTTCCCCCCCTTGTCTCCCTCTTCCCCCCTATCTCCCCGAGCTTCCCACCCTCCCTTGTCTCGCCGAACCTCAGTCCTAACACGGCGGGTCTTCCCCCTCCCTCCCCGAACCTCCTCCCGGACCTCCCCCTCCCTTGTCTCGCCGAATCAAGTTCGAAAGATACGAGCAGGACAACAGTTCACCACAAAAGACTGACAACAACAGCAATCAATCAATCTCCCCGAACCTCCCTTCCCCCCTTATCTCCCTCTTCCCCCCTATCTCCCCGAGCTTCCCACCCTCCCTTGTCTCGCCGAACCTCAGTCCTGACACGGCGGGTCTTCCCCCTCCCTCCCCGAACCTCCTCCCAGACCTCCCCCTCCCGGAAAGTTCGAAAGATACGAGCACGACAACAGTTCACCACAAAAGACTGACAACAACAACAACAACAACAACAACAATCGATCAATCAATCAATCAATCAATCAATGTCCCCGAACCTCCCTTCCCCCCCTTATCTCCCTCTTCCCCCCTATCTCCCCGATCTTCCCACCCTCCCTTGTCTCGCCGAACCTCAGTCCTAACACGGCGGGTCTTCCCCCTCCCTCCCGGAACCTCCTCCCAGACCTCCCCCTCCCGGAAAGTTCAGAAGATACGAGCACGACAACAGTTCACCACAAAAGACTGACAACAACAACAACAATCAATCAATCAATCAATGTCCCCGAACCTCCCTTCCCCCCCTTATCTCCCTCTTCCCCCCTATTTCGCCGAGCTTCCCACCCTCCCTTGTCTCGCCGAACCTCAGTCCTAACACGGCGGGTATTCCCCCTCCCTCCCCGAACCTCCTCCCAGACCTCCCCCTCCCGGAAAGTTCGAAAGATACGAGCACGACAACAGTTCACCACAAGAGGTAAGTGGCGAATCGAACCAGCTCCGATACCAAAATGCAAGGAACATGAATGTGGACGAAGCACAGAAATCCAGATTGCAAGGTAAGTGGCGANAAGTGGCGAATCGAACCAGCTCCGATACCAAAATGCAAGGAACATGAATGTGGACGAAGCACAGAAATCCAGATTGCGAATCGAAAGATAGGAGCACGAGAACAGTTCGCTACAAAGATGGGGTCTTTCCCTCTTCCCCCCCCATCTCCCCGAGCCTCCCACCCTCCCTTGTCTCCCCGAACTTTGCTACCTCCCACTGCGCGCCTTTCCCCTTCCCTCCCCAAACGTCCTCCCGGACCTCCCCGACCCTCGTGTCGTCCCTCGTCCCGAACCTCAGTCCGCATTGCCCGAGCCTCCATCCTCGCACTGCGCACCTCCCCTCTCCCTCCCCGAACCTCCTCCTGAAGCTCCCGGCATGGAAGAAAGGACAAAGCCGGAGAGAGAGAGAGAGAGAGAGAGAGAGAGAGAGAGAGAGAGAGAGAGAGACTTGCCCGTCTCCAACCTGTTCCTCCCGCTTCCCGACAGTCTCCATCCCCTTTCTTCCCGCCAGTCTCCATCCCAACCCCCATCTTTCCCGACCCTATCCACGGACAAACCCCGAAGAGAGAGGAAGAGAGAGAGAGAGAGAGAGAGAGACTGACCTGCTTCTTGGGCGACGGCGGCGGCTGGCTGGTACGGCGGCGTGGGCTGGACGATGGCGGCCGCTTGATGGCTCTTGGACGCTGGCGGTGGCTTTGTGTTTCGTCGGCGATGGCAGAGGAGATGTGACGGGCAGCAGGCGGCGGGTTCCAAACGCGCCCTCCAGACTCGAAAAACGGCCAGCTCGAAGTTCGAACTTCGAAAATGCTGGCCCTGCCTCCCGCCACCCCACCTGGCTCTGCACAGTCTGTGGCGGGTCCGGCCTTCGACCTGTGTCCGGTAGGCCAAAAAAAAAAAACGAAAAATCGGCCCAGCATTTTTCAGGGGCCGACAAGGACCCGAAAAACGTCCTCCGAGGCCCCTTTTTTTTTTTTGAATTTTCGTTGGGGGGGCCCGTTCCGGACATCCAGGACCAGACACCGGACCCCTGCAAAATGTTTGCTTTTGTCTGGAAACCGGTCCGGACGTCTGGTCGGTTACCATGATTTTAACACTAATTTTTACTTTTTGCCAGTTGTTTGGCCCAGCCGGGCAACTTGCCCTGTGCCACTCTGGTAGCCTAGGTGAGATCTGCAAATATCCTTTTTGTCTTTTTGTTCTTTTATATTTTCTTGCAGGCGAAGTCGCAACTGCTAATCTAGTTTTGCCGGAAACAACCTCACAAACTGTGTGGTGTTCATGATCAAACACTTATGTGTCAGCTGTTCTCTGTCCTTTACTTCATTCTTTTTGCGGACATAGCTTTTCAGTCTATCGACTTCAGATGTGTGAGCTGTTGTTAGTTTCTTTTCCGATTGTCATTAGAGGATCATTAGACAGGTTTGTCGTGTGGCTGATCTCGTCACACTCATCTTAGTGAACCTCTTGAAATGAAATCTTTTCCCTTCAAAAATGCATAATTATTAATTAAATAATAAGTTAATATTAATAACACACCTCAGTGTGCGTGGGTGTCAAAACTCAAAAAGTCATGAAAGCTGGTTGTCATTCTGATGTTCACATTGCATTTGCTTCCTGATAACCATCTTGGAAACCGATGTCAGGCTTACTGACTTATCTCAGCCGGGAATTTGTCTCCTTCGCACGTTTTGCGAATGTACTGCAAATGCTGGCAAATCGGATCGTCTTCGATGTTTGACTTCAGCCAATGACAGAAGAGCGATTGTTCGCCAATGTTGACAGTGAAGATGAAGTCGACGAGGAGATTGCCGACTTGGAGGACAGAAGGGTGAGTGCTCTTTTCGCGTGTGATACACTGGGTTGTGCACAATCGAGCTGCGTTCTGTTGCTTTCCCTAATCCGGCTCTTCATGGAACCCACCCTTGCGGTCATGATTCGTTTCAGAAAGATGCACACAGGTTGCTGCGTGCCAATGAGAAATTGAAATTTGAACCGCCTCAGCGCAAGTTGTCGCCTCAGGAAATCATCCGTCATGGGTAGCAGCAGGGGCAAGACGAATGAATTTTTTTTTTACGTAACCAGCATCCTTCCCAAAATGGAAGGCATGCTCATTACACCTGTATTCGTCCATGAAAATGGCCTGAAATACAAGCTATATTACTGCTATAATGAATTGCCATGCCTCCTATGTAAACAACCAGTACCTTTGGCGCGTGGGAAAATAGCGGGCCTCGGGTGGGCCTCCGACCTTTTCGGAGGCCTGAAAGAAACGACGGCCGCCGATCAGATTTATCAATGGCAGCCGTCGGCGGGCCCGGTCTCCAAAATTTTAGGGGTTTGGGAAAACCTCCACTTTTCCCTATTTTCCCAACGCTGGTGGAGGTACTAGTGGTTTAAGGGAAGATGGTAGGTGGAGTAGGTGGCTCCCACAGCTGAGCGAGAAATCACAAGATCGCAGCGAAGTAGACGATCTGCCTCTGTCCAGGGCAGTAGAGGGGAAGCCAATCAGTAGCCTCTGGATTGTAGGTGCAATACGTTTTGAAATATTGGCAGTCTGTCCGGACCATCCCATATTGCTAACCACATCACATCCGCCCATCCAACATCGCAAACTGTCTATCTTTGTTGCATCCCACCCTGAATCCTGCCTTGCTTAACCAAGCAAGAAGTGAGTGAGGGTTGGCTCGTACTAAGTTAACCAGGCGTTGAGGTACTTACAGGTTGGGTCCTGAAACACACTGGGTATACTACTGATGCAATTGCTCACTGCACCTCTAATTTTGGCAACACTGCCTGCTGGGAATGTAGTCTTGCCTGGCTTAACTAGCAAGAAGTATTGCTGTAGAAGGTGGCTATAGTCATGGTTATATTTATAGAGTTGGCGTTAGCTGTATTAAACCATCAGTACGGACGAGGATGCTTTTTACGAGGCTCCCAGGGTCGTGGCCAAAAAAAAGAAAGGAAGAACAAGAACAGGCCTGGCTATGCCTTTGCTTTTCGTTGGCTGGAGGTGTCAGCCATTGTCGTCCGATAGCCTGGATATCCCCCAAAGCTTTCGGGCATGTATGTTTGCGCTGGCGTGATTTGCCCAACGGCTTGTCCAACCATTCGGGGTATGTATAGACTTCTCCTTGGCCATAGCTTGCATCTGTGGGTGACTATGCTGATATAGGTACTGTTTAAGACACTATCTGGTAGCTATGGAATTATACGATCAGGGATCAGCAATCCAACAATCAGCGTGTAGTTGTGTGGATACAGCACAGTGTGTGTACTCTGTGTACTCCTCAAAAGTTATATGACAAATCATGAGCGCAGTGATGCATTCTTGGGAAGTTGTGAGCTAACCGTGTTTGCTTGCATTTTGTGCAGCTTTTGGATGAGTTTGTGGATGTCTCGAAGGATGAGAAGGAGCTCATGCATATGTGGAATGGGTTTGTGAGACGCCAAAAGTGAGTGATCCGCCGATCCCTTTTGTGGCTGAATGTGTGTATCCGTTATATCCGCTCTGAGGGCATCTTGGCACCAGGACTTTCGCTTGCATCCTATGCCAGTCACAGCCAGGGTTAGTCAGGAAAGTCCCAAGTGATGTCTCCCGCTCTGGGCTTGATTCAATCCCTTTCATAAGTGTTTACTTTCTGTATGTTAATGATATGGTCACTATGCTTGTAAAATGAGGACAATTTTCAGTCCTCCAGCCGCTCCTACAGTGTGCCGCCAGTGTGTGCCTCTGACCTACAGTCGCTCTTACGCTTGCTTCTTTCTGCATCGAATCTATTAGACAGATGCTAAAAAAATGACTCTTTATGATCAGGAACTAAAAATTGAGTTTTATTTGGCATTTTATATGCTGCAACCATGGTGTAGCAGCAGGTATCTGGCGCCAGGTTCAGGATGAAGAGGTTCTCCCCCCCCCCCCAACATCCTGCTCAGTCAATCCCCTGCACCCCAGGGTAATCAATGCTGGCAGGAATATTCCGCCTCGCCGTTTTTCTGATATGGTTCGAATTCTGCCCATGTAAGGGACGCTGGACCGGTTTTCGAGCACGTGTTAGCTCCCTACCGATAGATGGAGCTCCCCCCAGGTGTTAGCAGTGTCTGCTCTTATCGGCAGCACTAACACTGACGGGGGCGTGTTTAAAAAAAAAAAAAAAAAAAAAAACGTTGAAGCACGAGCAATGTTCTCCGGTACCCCATGCATTTCATATAAAATTCGACCTGGTTTCACTACATCAAACCAGTATTCAGGAGAACCATTTCCGGAACCCATCCGCGTTTCAGCGGGTCGCTGATCCATATTTTGCCTTGCCGACGGGCGTATCTTGTCGTAGAACACCTATCTGCTTTAATTTGTCATCCAAGATGGCTCTAAAGCTTGTAAAGCAACCTTTCGAAAAACAATTGAATTCCCTCTTGCAGAAATCCCTTTCATTGTTCCTCTATGATATTCACAAGTTTTTCACAAAATTTAGTTTTACGAGGGGGGAAATCGGTAATAGAAAACAGTTTATTAACTTTATTACCTCTACCTGCCTGACCTTTGCTTAACTCCTGTCATTGTTCTTCCTTCCCGCCGACCTTTCTCCTGCCTTGGCTCCTTCCTCCTCTCCTTCCCTCATCCCTCCCTCCCACCCTTGATCCATGACCTTGATAAGAAATTAGAAAACCCCTACTCTTTTTTTTCCCCCGACCTTAGTTTTCCTGGCGCGTGGTGCGCAACGAGTGTGCAAATCCGCGCATTGAGGTGCGCTGCAACTATGTCCAAGAGTCATTTTAGCCGAACCTGCCACCGATTCATAGAGTGGAGACCACACTAACTAATTGCAAAAAGAAGGGAAAAAAAAAACAGCAAGGCAAAAGTGCACTTTCATGCAAATTTCACCAACATTCCAAAATCTTTAGAAATTTCAGGAATCTTAGCAGAGGGATTTCTAATGCTTCAAAGGAGACCAAATTTGGCACACAGCGACCTTGAACCAAAACTAAAAGAAAGGCGAAAAAAGAAAAAAGAAAAAAGAAAACATTGAAAAGACTCGAAAGAGACACAATGCGAATGCGAGAGGTTACTTTCTCTCCAATTGTAATCATTAGCTCATTGACAATCATCTCTTTGTGTGTTTTGATTTGATTTTGTGTTTGACGCGCGATTGCTTTTATCTGAGGGGATTGCAACCGAATGTCTTTACGTGGCCATCTGCATCGCTGGCAGTTTGCTGACATGTCGCTGGTGAGAATTATATCTCTGAATCTTATGGTTATGTCACTGTGAGGGCATACTCACACGGGGACCTGTAATCCCAAAATCCCAAAAAAAAGGGGGAAATGCCGGTCACACGGATCTACCAAATTCGCAAATGTACTATTCCAGTGCCCATTTGTCAGCGGCCGGGGAAGCCGCGTTGGGAGGGATTTTGCGGTCACCTCTGGAGGTGACCACAAATTCCCTTTCTTCTTTTCTTGCATTTTCTTCAAAAATTGGCAAAAAATCATTCACAGAAGTTCTTGCACAATTTGTGGATGGCGCCGTGTGACCAGCCAAGTACCAAATCCCCATTTCTCCAGACGGCCGCGACCTTGTCCCATCTGAAAAGGTACAGCAGTGTGACGTGAACCATGCCCAAAACCGCAAATCGATCCTTCTCAAATCCGCATATTTTGCGGATTTGGGGTCGCCGTGTGAGTATGCCCTGAGGATGTTTTAACATATGAACACGAAACACATCTGTGTCAGTGGCAGTTTGGAGACATGTCGCTGTCGACAACTCTCTCTCTCTAAATCGTAATGGTTACGTCTCTGTCAGGATGTTTTTCCGTATTAAGTTATTAACATAAAACAATTGTGGCTGATTTTGCAGGGTGAAAGCAGATGGACACTGCATTTGGGCAGTGGAGGCATTTTCTAATCATCATGCTGCAAAGCTTTCTCAGAGGAAGGCTCTTCGTCGGTGAGTGCATCAAACCATGCATTCAGGCCCAAGCTTCCTAAGATTTGTCTTTGCTTGCTCAGGCACAAATCGTTTGCACTTGGACATCTTTGCCACTTTCAAGGATGGGTTGAGGGGGGTTGAATTTGGATCCGATTTCTCCTTACCTTCCCTTTGGACTGCCTGTTTTCATTTCAGGCTGTAAAGTAAGAGCAAAAAGTCGTTGTCGACATCATATGCTACAGAACATAAAGTCTGCTTGTGTGGAGTCCTTTCTTTGTTTGTTGCTGGCAAAGTTTCAGCTTGGAGCCTTTGAGAAGTATCGCCTTGAGAACTCTCTCTCTCTCTCTCTCTCTCTCTCTCTCTCTCTCTCTCTCTCTCTCTCTCTCTCTCTCTCTCTCTCTCTCTCT